GACCAGCCCGAGCAGGTTGTCGACCGCGAGAACTGGACCGAGTCCTTCATCCAGTGGTCGCCCCAGGGAACCTACCTCACCTCCATGCACGCCCAAGGTGTCCAGCTGTGGGGTGGCAAGGCATGGAGCAGGCAGAAGCGATTCGCCCATCCCGGCGTCAATCTCGTCGACTTCTCGCCCAGCGAAAAGTACCTCACCACCTGGTCCCACCGCCCACTCCAGGTCGACGAGAACCACCCGGTCCCATCGCTCTCGCTCGAGGAGGACGGCAAGAACTACATTATCTGGGACATCGCCACAGGCAAGCCCCTGCGCTCCTTTGCGACCATCGATGTACCCGGTGGCACCGACGCCGATGGTAACCCCGTCAAGAAGAAGCTGCAGTGGCCGACATTCAAGTGGTCTTCCGACGACAAGTATGTCGCACGTATGACCCAGGGCCAATCCATCTCCATCTACGAGCTGCCGCGCATGAACCTTCTCGACAAGACCTCGGTCAAGATCGAGGGCGTCATGGACTTTGAATGGGCTCCAGCAACACCCCGGAGAGAAGGTATCAAGACATACGAGCAGCTCTTCTGCTACTGGACACCCGAGCTCGGTAGCAATCCCGCCAAGGTCGGTCTCATGTCCGTTCCCTCAAAAGAGATTGTGCGCACGCGAAATCTGTTCAACGTCTCTGATGCGAAGCTGCACTGGCAATCCGAAGCTGCCTACGTCTGTGTCAAGGTCGACCGCCACTCCAAGTCCAAGAAGTCCCTCGCCACCAACCTGGAGATCTTCCGTGTCCGCGAAAAGGGTGTGCCTGTTGAAGTCGTCGATTCGATCAAGGACACTGTTATCAACTTTGCCTGGGAACCCAAGGGCAACCGCTTCGTGCTCATCACCACTGGCGAAGTCATTCAGGGCGCTGCTGTGGGTCCCAAGACTGCCGTCTCTTTCTTCGCCCCCGAGAAGCTCAAGGGCGGCGCACCTGGCAACTTCCGTCACATCCGAACCATTGACAAGAAGAACAGCAACGCCATCTACTGGTCACCCAAGGGACGATTCGTTGTTGTCGCCGCTCTCCAGTCTCAGCAGTCTTTTGAACTCGAGTTCTGGGACATGAGCTTCGACAGGCCCAAGGAGGAGTCTGAGAAGGGTGACAAGGAAGTTAACGCCAACCTGCAGCTCATGGATACAGCCGAGCACTACGGTGTAACCGACATTGAGTGGGACCCTACCGGCCGCTACGTCGCCACCGTTGCCAGTGCTTTCCGTCATCGCGTATGTATCTTTACCGTCACGTCCTTTTGCTTCTGCTAACACCCACTAGATGGAGAACGGTTATCACCTCTATGACTTCAAGGGTACACTCCTCCGCGAAGAAGCCATCGAAGGCTTCAAGCAGCTCCTCTGGCGCCCACGCCCCCCGACCCTTCTCTCTAAGGAGGAGCAGGCCGAAATTCGCAAGAACCTGCGCAACTACTCCAAGGTCTTTGATGAGCAAGACGTCGCCAAGAAGAGCTCCGCCAACAAGGCTGTGGTGGAAGCTCGTCGCGAGATGCTAGATGAGTGGCGCAGATGGCGCGAGGAGGTCACTGAGAGGTTGCGCGACGAAGGAGCCGACCTCGAGCTGGCAACCCTCAAGGGAGAGACGCCTGGTCAGGCGGATGATGGGCACCAGGAAGAGATTGAGGAGATTGTAGAGGAGATCATCGATGAGACCGAAGAGGTCGTGAATTAGGTAGTTGAATGAGTAGAGACGAGTATGATAGTAACTCGAATGAACTTGCTGGGAAATGATTTCCCGAACCATACAACCTATGACGAACAATGGCATACGATGATTCATCTCAACACGTTCTTTTTACAACAATCGTGAATGCAACAGCTCTTGCATCACTCATCCCTTATCGGAGAGAGAAAGGTTCAGACGGTCGATTTCATATGACACAACCACGCTCACTATGGCCCGGTGTGTCTTGGATTAATTCTTCCTCCTTCCTCCCAACTTCGCCTTGTAATGCTAGACCAAGTTAGCATTCCTTGCTCTTCACATCCGCTCGACCTACGCAGTTTTTGCTTCAACTTACCTCACAGCTGATTCTCAAACCCTCTTCCAAGCCGACTCGAGGTTTGTAACCCAACAACAATCTTGCTTTTGAAATACTGACATAGCGATCGCGACATCCGTCACTCACAATACCCCGACTAAGCACTCCTTCTGTCCCCGTCATCCAACTAACCCATTCAGCACAGTAACCCAAACACCACGTCAACCCTTCCGGAACTCTAACGTGGAACCTTGGAACATGACCGAATTCCTTCCATACTGCTAGACACAAGGCCCTCGCTGTGACAGGCTCGCCATTGGTAATGAACATGGCTTCACCAGCAGCAGTTTGCGAATTTAGCAGATTGCCGACGGCGAGGACATGTGCGTCTGCTACGTTTTCTATATAAACAAAATCTTGCAGGTTGGTTCCTGTGCCTAGGATGAAGGGCGTTTGGTACGCTGAGATACACGAGTGTATTGTGGGGATGCACACGGTGTCATTGCGGCCAAAGATGGGGGCCGAACGCAGAGCACAAGTCGCGAAGTCGTGCGTATTTGCGGAAAGAACAATGGATTCTGCGAGTGCCTACTACGAGTGAGTTTCTGCTTCTTCTTTTCCATTCCTTTCCAAAGTTTGGGTAGATGATTTTGAATGAGAGATGTTACGGTGGCTAGGAGGCAGTACTTCATGTGAGCGAAATGAATAGTTGAGAACTTCTGGTGTGAAAACTGGCATGAAACAAGGTGATTCAAGAGAGAACAGGCGCTTTCCAAGGAACAGTCAAGGGAAACACAACAAAAGAGGAAATCAGTTACCTTGCTCTGTCCGTAGCTCGTGTGCACACCACCTGTGGGCCAACGTTCATCTACGTTCCTGAAATCGCGATCCAATTCATCCAGAACAACAGTCACACTACTCGTGTACACAAAAGCCTTTGCACCACACTCCCTGCTTGCTTCAACAACATTCCTTGTTCCCTCGACGTTGATCTTGAAGATGGCGTCTTTGCCCCGCATGGAGTATCGCTTCGTGCCTAGAGGGAAGACACCCACTGTGTGAATGACGACAGCAGGTCGAGCTTCGGAAAAAACACTGGACAGAGAAGATGAGTCCATGATGTTGCAGCGGACATAGCGTACGCTATTGGTGAAGGTGTCGCTGCCAAGCGAGGGCGGATTGACGTCTATGACCGTGATGGAGTATCTCTTGCTGCGTAAGAGTGCGGAGACGATGGCAGTACCTAGGAATCCACAGCCGCCTGTCACCAGAACGCGGGTTGGATCCATTTCTTGACGTTTGAGGAATCCTCAGAGACGCTGTGTGTGGTGCAGATTAGTGTTGTTGACGTCGGACGCGTTTCTTTCTTTGAGCGCATTCCAGTCGATCTGTCTTAACAGCATGGAAGCATAGAGCTTCGTATTTGCAGTATCTGCAGCGGATCCACTCATACGACCGCGTACGGTTGTTGTTGGTAGGATGTGACGTCGGGTCTATGAGAGAGTAAGACATGACGAGGCGCGTGTCGCATCCAAGCATTGCCCAATGCTTTCCCGCTGGATGTCTCGCGCAAAAATGCACTTCCACGAGACATTTCAAGTAAGGAACTATGCATGTTCCGCACTAGAACCAAACAAGAATGAACTAGGTAGTGATTGTTGGACTGTATGAATTTGTGCAGGTTATCGCCTGAACCCGGTCCCATCGTTGGTGTCCGGGCAAATGATCTTGACTGCGGCGTAAATCAGCACAATTGGTATCCTCCAACTACGACACATAATATTTACCACAAAATATTTGAACTCCGGACAAACGAAACACTTGAGCACGTATGGTTTCGGTGTGAACACCAGATTTCTTAGTCTTTCGCCTAGATCATATCTTCATGGTGTTCCATCGCCGTCACGTTGAAGAAGGATATTGAAAATTCGAAAAAATTACCCGACGACCACCACCACGATGAAGGTTAACGAACACCAGGGTATATATCGCAAAAGTACCGCTCCATATTGTGATGCTGACTTTTTTCAGCTATCCTTACACCCCGCCTTCTTCTTGTTCCGTACAGTTCTCACCACGTCCCCACATACCACGAATGGATGCAAGATGAGGTATACCAAGAGCCCACCATACTTCGCACTGTTGGGATATTTCCCAGGACTGACTGGGACGCAGGAGTTGCAGAAGCTTACCGCATCCGAGCCACTGACGCTCCAGGAGGAGTACGCCATGCAAGCGTCGTGGCGTCAGGATGCAGATAAATTGACCTTTATTATCTGCACCTCACCGAACACGCCAACAGCACCATCGGATCTTTCCACTATGGTCAAGGTCTCTCCCGAAACGGAAGATGCACCCGACCGCATGGTAGGGGACGTGAACCTGTTCCTCTATCCGTGTGAGGAAGGTGATGACGTAGAGCAACAGGAAGGCTGTGGGACAGAGAAGGTGGACATGGTCGGCGAGTTGGAGATTATGATTGCTCGACCTAGCGCCCGAGGCAAGGGACTTGCGAAAGAAGCCCTGCAGGCATTCATCTGGTACATATCCACATCGTTACCGGCTATTCTGGAGGAGTACGCAAAAGGAACAAATGACACGGGCAAGCTGAAGTCTCTAAGCTACTTGAGGGTCAAGATTGACAAAGACAACACCCGGAGTATCAAGCTATTCAAATCGTTGTGCTTCAGTCAGGTCAGCGAGCCTAACTATTTCGGGGAAGTGGAACTGCGGTCTATGGATATACATGGTGGGATAGCGGATGCTACTGGGTTTGCAAGAAAACTATCCTACGGGGACTGAAAGACAAGCATGTCCAAAACAAGCGACATGAAGAGCACGGGACTGTATGTCACGAGGCAAAGAAATCTGATTGTTGGAAGTACCTGGCAATGTACACGATATAGAACACACGCTTCCGCTACCCGCTCTCCTGAACCGCGCAAATGCAAAACCACCCAATGTTTATTGGTTCGTCTTGCCAGAGTTGTTTGGCTTGGGGAGTTGGTCGAGGATGCTCTTGTTTTGTGGTGGCTGGTAGACAATCTTCCGTGTCTTTAGCGGTGCCCACTTGTACCTGTCGTGATTGTTAGTTTCGAGTTGTAATGGTGAGGTGCGGAGACTTGCCTCTTGACCCAAACACTGAGCGCGAACAGAACACTGGTGACAGCGAGAACCTTCCAGCCCATCTTCTTGCGGTCGTCCATCTCAGGCTCAGCGGTCCAGTTGAGGAACTCAACCACGTCCTTGGCCATCTGCGAGGTCGAAGCCTTGGTGCCATCATCGTACTCAACCAAGTCGTCGTACAGAACACGGGCCATGGCAATTCCGGTACCGGGGAAGTAGGGGTTGAAGTTGAGGCCTTCTTGGACAACGGCACCGGCAGGTGGCTCCTCGGGGTAACCAGTCAACAAGCTGAAGATGTAGTTGCAGCCGCCGTGGCGGGCCTTGACCATGAGCGATAGATCGGGGGGTAGAGCACCGTTGTTGGCAGCGCGGGCGGCCTCGTCGTTCTTGTAGGGGGCAGGCATGTAGTCGGAGAGCTTTCCGGGGCGCTTCTCAATCTCGCCCTGGTCGTTGGGCTCTGTGTCGTACTCGTTCTCCTCGGCGAGCGCCTTGGCCTCATCGACTGTCATGAACTTTCCGACGACGGCGCGGTAAGGCACACGGGAGATGGAGTGGCAGGAGGCGCAGACCTCACGGTAGACCTGGAAGCCACGGCGGAGACTGTGACAGATTAGGGGATGCGCATGTGCGGTAGGACGGGAAGGACGTACGCTCCATGGTCGAAGGTCTTGGACCACTTCTCGTGCTCCCACGGGTATTGAGTTGGGTGGAGACTGTAGAAGCATAGCGTCAGTACATGACTTGCGGTCGGATCATCTTTGGCGCACTCACCCTTCTTCGGCTGGGGTCATGGCATCAACCTGGCGTCCGTAGAGATGCCAGTACCAGGCAGTCGAACCAACGGCGAAGATGGTGGCGCCTGCGGGGAGGGCGTTGTTCTTCCATGCCGAGGCGGCGCCGTCGGCAGAGCTCGATGTCGAGGCAAAGCGCTGTATCACCCATTCCGTCAGCCAGATTATTCAATTGAGGCGGGACAAGCCCTTGTATTGCAGCCCGGCGAGAGATGGTGTCGATGAAGCTCGCGCGAGCTGTCGGGGTTTCTTGGGCCATGCGGGAGGCGTACCGGTTTGCTGGAGGCATTGCGGGCCGTGGCAGCGGCGGAGCGTGCCGTACGCAGTGCTGAGCGAGCCAACATGGTCATGTGAAGCTGGCTCGGAGCAGGAGGGAGACTGGATCAATGGGTTGTCGTTGTCGGCGGTGGTGATGCTGGGAGTAGGTGCGGGAGACACTGGCCGGATCATCAATTTCCACTAGCGCCTGCCTATTATGGTTGCTAACATAAGGCAGCTGCGATTGGCTGCTCCTTCCACCTTCGAATGGTCGCTCCTTCCACCTTCGGGTTTCTAGAATTTGAAACTTTAGAAGTACTCACAGCCTTATGCTTTATCCGTCCGGTTATTCTGGTCTCTTATTGAAACGTTAAAGCTCGTGGTTGGGGCAGATAGTATCGCGTGGCATCACCTTTATATACATATTTTAACTTCTTTCTTCTACATACGACCATAGGACACTGAAAATTAGGCTTCCCGTCCGCTCAGCCATATACAAGCAGTGTACCGGCGGATTAGTAGTTAGGTGGGTGACCACTAGCGAATCCCCGCTGTTGTATGTTTTTGTCGTTTTGTTGTAACCCATCAGCATGGTATTTTTTTGCTCACGTCCAACATGTCTAAGTCGTGGTAGGAGGGAGGTTACCGCAGACCATCAGCAATTAAGCACTATCCTGGGCATTCAATGTAGAATGTCATGTATGCTAGTATAGCCAGGGTACGACATGGAGAACAAGAGCTTCTTCGTAGTAGGAGCCCTTCGTACTCGGAGCCCTACATTTCTCCAAAACTCCGAAACAAACGTCTTTATACACGCCTGTCTATCGTCATGCTGAGATATACGTCGGAACATCATTCACCTAAGAGTACGAGTTGCGACTGCGCTACTTGCTCTGTCCAACGCCGACAGCAACACGCACAGCATTGTCATGTGACCCTACTTCTATACCCTTTCACTCATGCAGGAATTGCGAAAGGGCTCAAACGAGGGCTAGGTCTTCTCTAGCAAGAACTGGCTGTATTGCCAGAACACACAGCGTCTCTGCGGAGAGGGTGACGCTGGGAGGACTTTCTTGCGTGTTGAATAGAAAAGTCTTTGAGCAAGTCGGCAAGGTTTATATACCGGCTAGCGGAACGTTCCACTAGGCCATATGTGGTGCGCAACATCAACATCAACAAGAGGGCCCTTGGAGAAGAACTCTGCCCGTCTCACTGTGTGCGCTTCTAAAGCAGCGTGCTGATAGAAACAAAAGGTTGCTAGTGCCTTTGGGGCTGCCATTGAGTTAGTGTGCTTGAGCATTTTCCGTGCTTCTTTCTACCTGGGTCCCTTGGTATTGTATGCACGTCGCGCTGCAGCAGACGAGAAGCTAGATGCACCGCTTCACCCATCATGGCCGTCTCCTGGTGTCAAGACCCGTCACCGCTCCTTGCTGCAGTCCCAGTCGACTGAAGCCGCGTCGGAACCTCTTGCACACGCTCACGTCAAACACTCGCCTCCCTCGTTACCCCGCTGCCTCGCCGACACCATCTCTCCGCTCCCCTCCATCCTCCCGACACCCTGCCTTTGTCACTGTGAGGCACTGTTCCCATCGACGAAACATGTGCAAGCACTTTGGCGCCGAGGGCCACTCGTCCATTGACATCACCAAGGGCCGTGAGGTGCTGCCTGTCAATGTCAAGCCTATTCACTATGACTTGACGCTGGAGCCAGACTTTGCCAAGTTTACCTACCAAGGCACCGTCACCATCGAGTAGGCACATGCGCATCTTGCACGACAAGACGCCCGCTGACACCACGCCAGTCTAGACGTCGTCGACGACACTACCTCGATTTCCCTCAACACCAACGAGCTCAAGATCCACTCGACCAAGGTCACGGCTGGCCAGCAAGTCATCACCGAATCGCCCAATGTCACCACCGACGACGATGCGCAGACGACCAAAGTCAGCTTCGACCAGACCATCCCTGGCGGCAGCAAGGCGAAGCTTACCATGACCTTCTCCGGCGTCCTCAACGACAACATGGCCGGCTTCTACCGCTCGTCCTTCAAGGCCGCCGACGGCTCGACCACATACATGGCGACCAGCCAGATGGAGCCCACGGATGCCAGGCGGGCGTTCCCCTGCTTCGACGAGCCGGCCCTCAAGGCCAAGTTCACCGTCACGCTCATCGCCGATGACAAGATGACCTGTCTCAGCAACATGGACGTGGCGTCGGAGAAGCAAGTCGACAGCACCATCTCGGGCGGAAAGCGCAAGGCCGTCACCTTCAATCCGACGCCCCTCATGTCAACATACCTCCTGTGCTTCATCGTCGGCGAGCTCAACTACATCGAGACGAACAACTTCCGCGTCCCTGTACGAGTCTATGCTCCAAAGGACCGAGACATTGAGCATGGCCGGTTCTCGCTCGAGCTGGCCGCAAAGACGCTGGAGTTTTACGAGAAGACCTTTGACAGTCCCTTCCCGCTCCCTAAGATGGACATGGTTGCTATTCCCGACTTTAGTGCAGGTGCCATGGAAAACTGGGGCCTCGTCACCTACCGCGTTGTAGATGTGCTTATTGACGAAAAGGTCAGTGGTGCTGCTACCAAGCAGCGCGTTGCCGAGACGGTGCAGCACGAGCTCGCGCATCAATGGTTCGGCAATCTCGTAACCATGGACTTCTGGGACGGCTTGTGGCTTAACGAGGGATTCGCAACCTGGATGTCGTGGTACTCCTGCAATGTCTTCTACCCCGACTGGAAGGTCTGGGAAGGTTATGTTACGGACAACCTGGCTAGCGCACTCTCGCTCGACTCTCTACGCAGCAGTCATCCCATTGAGGTGCCTGTGAAGCGTGCAGACGAGATCAATCAGATTTTCGACGCCATCTCCTACTCCAAGGGCTCTAGTGTCATTCGCATGATTTCCAAATATGTCGGAGAGGACACCTTCATGGAGGGTATTCGCCGCTACCTTAAGAAGCACGCCTATGGCAACACGGAGACCGGCGACCTGTGGGCTGCCTTGGCTGATGCCAGTGGCAAAGACGTTGGCAAGGTCATGGATATCTGGACCAAAAAGGTCGGATTCCCAGTCGTTACCGTGACCGAGGGCGCCGACTCTATCCACCTCAAGCAAAACCGCTTCCTCCGTACAGCCGACGTCAAGCCAGAAGAAGACCAGACCCTGTATCCAGTCTTTCTCGCGCTGCGGACTAAAGAAGGGGTTGACGAGGACTTGACGCTTTTCGATCGCGAAGCCGACTTCAAGCTCAAGGACCTCGACTTCTTCAAGCTCAACGCAGACCACTCTGGTCTTTACCGGACCTCATACACGCCAGAGAGATTGAGGAAACTTGGAATCTCGGCCAAGGAGGGCCTCTTGACTGTTGAGGACAGAGCTGGTATGATTGCTGATGCTGGCTCGCTGGCCGCGTCTGGCTATCAAAAGACGTCTGGCATTCTCTCGCTCCTGGACAGCTTCAAACATGAGGCAGAGTTCGTCGTTTGGGGGGAGATTACTGGTCGCATTGGTTCCCTCCGGGGCGCATGGATGTTCGAGGACCAGAAGATCAGGGATGCTCTGAAGAAGTTCCAGTTAGAGCTCAGTGCCGAGAAGGCACATGAGCTGGGATGGACGTTTGATGAAAAAGACGGCCATATCGAGCAACAATTCAAGGGTCTCATGTTCGGTGCTGCCGGTATCGCCGGAGACGAGAAGATTACCAAGGCATCATTCGACATGTTTGAGAAGTTCAAAGCAGGCGACAAGTCTGCCATCCACCCCAACATCCGCGGCAGCGTATATGCTATTGTGTTGGCGAATGGTGGGCAAGAAGAAGTAAGTCGTTGAACTGCGATATGTGAAATCTGAACTAACCTTGCTCAGTACGACGTCATTGTCAACGAGACACGAAACGCTGCCACAAGTGACGAACGCAACTCGGCTCTTCGCGCGCTCGGTCGTGCCAAGTCGCCAGAGCTCATCCAGCGCACGCTCGCCATGGCCCTCAGTGACGAAGTCAAGGGCCAAGACATCTACCTGCCCATTGCTGCCTTAAGGTCACACGCAGAGGGCTGTCACGCGCTTTGGAAGTGGGTCAAGGACAACTGGTCGGAGCTGGAGAGAAGGCTGCCTCCTAGCTTGAGCATGCTAAGTTCGGTTGTTGCCATTACAACATCGGGCTTCACTCACCGGGAACACATTGAAGATATCCAGGCGTTCTTCAGCAGCAAGAGCACCAAGGGCTTCGATATGGCGCTGTCTCAGAGCATCGACGCCATCAGTGCCAAAGCCGCATGGCTTGAGAGAGATGCGGAGGATGTCAAGATGTGGCTGCAGGAACATAGATACCTGCAGTAGAAGCAGAGTGTTGTGTGGATTGTTATGAACTATGGCTGTACAAATAGATGGAGATGAAAAGCATTTACTCCCTGCGCCATCAATCCATATTGTCCCCAACAAACACAATAAGCTTTTTTCACGTTGGCAAGTCTAAGAATGACGTCAGTGTACATACCATAAGCGTAACTGAACAAATGCACCACGACAACCTCTGCGGTGCGGCAGGTCGGCTTTTACAGAGATGTGAGTTTAGTGTGACGTGAATTCATTCACCACTTCGTAGTGTAACTTCAGATGTGTGACCATGTCAGCCTCTTTCCTATGACGCTATTGTACATGATGCTCATGGCTCTTTCTTGAATTATTATCAACCAAGTCTAGGCTATGGTTCTACAGCTTCTGGTAGTCTAGCTTGCCCTCGAGCTTCTTTGACTCGGCCATCTTCCGCACTGCCTTGTTGAAGTCGTCCTGGTTGATCGAGTCTCGGTAGTCCTTGATGGCAAAGAGACCACTGTGGTAGGTTAGCCATACTGTAGTCACACGGGAAGAAGATACTTACGCTTCTGTGACAACGTTGCGTAAATCGGCGCCGTTCATGCCATCGCTCATCTTGACAATGCTCTCAAAGTCAATCTCTCCGTCCGTCACTACGCTGCCAGAGTGGATTTTGAGAATCTCCAGACGTCCTACTTCGTTGGGCAGGGGGATTTCGAGCTTGCGGTCCAGACGACCAGCGCGCAGAAGAGCAGGGTCGAGCGTGTCTGGTCGGTTTGTTGCCATGATGATCTTGGTCTGTCCTAGGTAGTCGAAACCATCAAGCTGATTTAGCAGCTCCATGAGAGTTCGCTGAATCTCACGATCTGCTGAAGTTCCCTCGGAGAAGCGTCGTCCACCAATCGCATCGATCTCGTCCATGAAGATGATGCAGGGCTCGTGCTCCTTTGCGTAACCAAACATCTCGCGGATCAGACGCGCCGACTCTCCAATGTATTTGTCGACAATGGCCGAGCTGACAACCTTGAGGAAGTTTGTCTCGAGACTGCTCGCCACAGCACGTGCCAGTAGTGTCTTGCCAGTGCCTGGTGGACCGTAGAGCAGCACTCCCTTTGGCGGCTTGATGCCTACTCGCAGGAACAGCTCTGGGTTCTTCAACGGCAGCTCAATCACCTCACGTAGCTCTCTAATCTGCTCATTGAGACCACCGATACCGCCAAAGCTAACCTGACCCGGGTCTTCGAGCGACATGTTGTAGACGAGCGGATCGACTTCGCGGGGGAGCATGCGCATTATGGTAAGAGTCGTCATATCCAGAGCCACGCGGGTGCCTTGCTTGAGCTTGGCCTTGTCGACCTTTGACCGGCATCCGACGACGTAACGGGGCCCTGACGATGCCTTGACAATGACTGCGGGGAGGTTAGTGTGGCGTCTCTCTCGGTGATGCAAATGCCCACGTACATCGCTCCTCGTCTAGCTGCTTCAGCACCTCTCCTATTATCTGGCCGACGCTCTGCAGCGCCTTGATGTTGTCTTCTGATACGTCAAAGTCGTGCTGGAGGCCCTTGATGTCCAGTCGCAGCGCCTTGAGCTTGGCCTCCCATTCTCTCGACTCAAGTAGCTTGGACTTGTAAGCTTCGAGGGCGTGTTCCCGCTCTTGGTCGCCGCTTCCGCTCATGGTGAGGTTGTGCGGTGGATGTGAGTGTGGTTGTGAATGTAGTTGTAATGGTGCAGCAGGTGCGGGAGGCGGTAATGGCAAGGCGGCCGGGTTTGGTGCGGGATCAAGGTGGAGGTGTAAAGCTATGTGCGGTCAGTGATGGCGAGTTCCAGCCTTGGTCCGGGTGAAAGGTGGGAGGGCGAAGTGTCGGTGGTGATGGCGATGGTATTGGTGCTATCGCTGGTGTTGTTGCGGAATGCGGGAGACGGTCCGAGAAAGTGAGAGAGCGCGGCGCGTCGTTGGAAGCTCCGACCCTGCATCATCGAGCCTGCCTATGACAACCGATCCGTCCACGACAAACACACTGCACCTTTTTCATGATGCAAGCCAACGGGCCCCCGTCGCCGAGCAAGGCAAAGCGCTCGCGTGCCGAAATGGAGGCTGACGGCGCCGTCTCTGCAAGAGAAGCTGCGGCCCAAGTTCAAGACGGTATTGCCATTCCGCACCTCTCACGCGCGCCAACTTTCTCACACCCACTGTAGACGATACTTCCTCCGACGACGATGACTTCGGTCCGGCTCTCCCCTCCTCGGCGCCCAAGAGGAAAAAGCGCAAGCTGCCGTACGAAAAGCTCTATGTCGCTGCACTGCCCGGCGCAACCCGTTACTCCAAATCACTCATGCATCGCGAGCAACTGTGCTTTACCACTTTGACGCCCCACACCGACTTCCTCATAACGAGCTCCGTCGACGGCGTGGTCAAGTTTTGGAAGAAGGACTTTGGCGGTATAGAGTTTGTCAAGGAGTTCAGGGCGCACAATGGCGAAATCAAGTCTGTCAACGTGAGCGCCGACGGCCGTAGCTTTGCCACTGCAGGCGCCGACAAGACGATCAAAATCTTTGACGTCGTCACCTTCGATCTCCTGGCCATGCTGACCGTCGAGTATACCCCTCGCGCGGTTTGCTGGCTGCATGGCCGAGGCGCAAGCTTTCCTCAACTCGCCGTCAGCTCCGAAGAGAATGGTTGGATCCGCATATACGATGGCAGGGGGGAGAATCCGGAGCCTCTGCAAACGCTCAAGAGTGTGCACAGGGCGTCGGTCAGCATAATGGCATACAACAATGAATTCGACTGTGTCGTAAGCGTCGATCAAGGGGGTATGGTCGAGTACTGGAGACCCAATGGAAATTATGAAAAGCCAGACAACGTATGGTCGCTGAAGAGCTCCACCAACTTGTTCGAGTTCAAAAAGTCAAAATGTGTGCCCTCGTCGCTTACCATATCCCCCTCTGGGAAGCAGTTTGCCACCTTTTCCTTTCCTGATCGAAAGGTCCGCGTCTTCGATTTTGCAACGGGCAAACTCTATCGCACATACGATGAATCAGTTGAAACCATCACGAGCATGCAACAGGCCGGCACCGCTGTCCAACACCTAGAGGACATGGAGTTTGGTCGACGGATAGCCATCGAGAGAGAGCTTGACCAGCCTACTACAAGAGGTCGCATGAATGTCATATTTGACGAGACAAGTAATTTCATCCTATATGGCAGCATGTACGGAGTCAAAGTCATCAACACGCTGACTAACAAGCTCGTGAAGCTGTACGGCCAAGAAGAATCCATCCGACCGCTATGGCTGTGTCTCTATCAAGGTCAACCAGAGAAAAAGGGTGTCGTCACGGTCGAAATGGCAGCGAGCGAGAACCCACTGCTTCAAGAAGCCGAGGCGAGAGACGCCATGCTGGTCTCTACAGGTTCTGGCAAGGTCCGCTTCTACATGTACACCAACGATGCCAGCGCTACCAAGTCGACCCGTGACGTACAGAACGAGAAACCTCGTGCCGCTGGCGCCAATAAACAAAAGAATGATAAAACACTCGCTGCGACGGGTACGACGGCAACACTTCACACTACCTATGGTGACATCACCATTCGCCTCTTCCCAGACGCTGCGCCCAAGGCCGTGGAGAATTTCGTCACCCACGGGCGCAATAACTACTACAACAACGTCATCTTCCACCGCGTAATCCGCAAATTCATGATACAAACCGGTGACCCACTTGGCGACGGTACAGGCGGGGAGAGTATCTGGGGCAAGGAATTTGCAGACGAGTTCTCCAACTTGAAACATGACAAACCCTATACGGTGAGCATGGCGAATGCTGGGCCAAATTCGAATGGAAGTCAATTCTTCATTACAACTGAAAAGACTGTAAGTCTCCATCCCCCCTCCTTTCTTTCTCTCTTTCTCTCTCTCTCTCTCTCTCTCTCTCACTCTCTCTCTCTCACCATCAATCACCCAACAATGAGGCGACACGCTGACTGTGAATTATGTGTAGCCCTGGCTCGACAACAAACACACCATCTTTGGAAGGGCGATTGCAGGTATGGACGTTATTCACAAGATCGAGAACACCAAGGTGTACAAGGAGAAGCCGGAGGAGGATATCAAGATTATCAGTGTCTCCATCTCTTGAAATCGCGGGTGATGGGACTATCAACATGATGGCTGAGCACGAGAAGCAGTTGCTGTATTGCTTTCAAAATGGGGGAATTGTACAGACCCACCCACTGGTTAGCTTTGATACCTAATCGCACATGAAGGAATGCAAGTGTAATGGGATTGAACCAAATGACCAACTTGCTTGACAGATTTGATACATTAATCCATATTCATTCTTCTCCTATCGATAATACTGCTTAGGGTTCGATACGTGTTCGTTTGCCTTATGGGCCGGTCTAAGATGAACGCAACAACTGCTCCTCAAGACGACCCAAGACATCATTCTGTGACACGATGAAACGCCGCCAAAGCCGTGCGCCCTGAACCCAGACCCGCTATATAATTCAAACAACGCCCGACAGTGAAATGGAACTGCACATCATCGCTACCCAAGTTCCTGGTATCATATGCGAATGCATGCGAGTACGCCGAAGCCCTCCATGAGGCGCCATTGTCCCCAACCAGACAGAAAGAAAGCTAAATCAAACCTATAAAAGCAAACCAGAGTGGCGTGCAGACCATCCTGTTCCTAGACGCCAGTAAATGTAAAGTTGTGTGCAAACGTGTAGCACTCTGTGCTCTGCGCAACTACTTTGCGACACCCTGAGAAGGCGAGCTGCGACCGACGGAGTGTGGTGCGGGCGCACTGGTGATGGAGGTGCGCTTTTGAGCCCTGAGTACATCAAGCTTTTTCTTCAGCGCTCTTTGGCGGCTTCTCATCTGTTCGAGAACTGTAGCAGTTAGCTGTGTATCCCTCGGAAGACATTGTAGCGGCACTTACGCTTCTGGATCGAGCGTCGGTCTTCACCATCGAGACCATTGATTTCCTCAGCATCTGCCTTGTCGTTGGGCGAATCTTCCTCTTCTTCCAAGACAGCTTGAAGCATTGTGATAGCAGTCCAGTAATTAATATCACAGTCGGCCAGATTGTGTCCAGTAAGCTCATCAATGGCTGCCTGGCGGCTCATTTCTAGGGATCGATCGTATAGCAGCTTTTCGGCCGTGACGCCAGTTGTAAGCAGAATATTCTCGGCAGAACCAACCGCAGTCGTAGAACCAGATGCCGCTGACTGATTCTGAGGATGACTGGGATGGTCTGCTGGTAACTGCTGCTGTGCCTGCTTGAGTTTGCGTGCAACTATCTCAGATTTGACGCAGCACTCGTTGAATCGGTCGCGCATCCAAGAGACTACTTGGCCAAGTTTTGCATTAGTTCGGCTTGCACCGTCAGGACCGCTGTTATGTCGAGTTCGGTTCCAGTAACTACCGGTCAAGTCCATGGCCTTGTTCAGCATCGCCAACGTTTTCACAAAAAGTACCAACGCTTCCTCAGAGATGATAAGAACAGTATCGGGCGTCAGATCATCGTCGTCGTCATCCTCGTCGTCAATTACATCGCTACTAGGCTTGCGAGCAACGCCAGTGGAGCCGATACCTAGAGCCGGGTCGCTTGGTGCAACTGGGACGAGCTGGCTGTACTTGACTTCTGCGAAGCCGTAAACAACGTGGCTGAGCTGCGCCAGATCTTCAATCCTTTTAACCGTACTAGTGTCTTCGTCCTTGCCCACCACTTTGCCTCCATCGCTGACCAGCAACATACTGCTTTGCGCAGTTGGATACGCAGGAAATGCAGAATAGCCCTGTGGGGGAGATACGCCCTTCATGACGGGTGGTGATAGACCAAGCCCTCGAATGTTGACCATGTTCATAGCCTTGGACAAGGCAGAAGTAGCGGTTTCGAAACTTGGACGATACTGTCTCCGACTGTATGAAGCCGTGCGTTGGTGGGCAATGGTTGGCTTTTGTTGGATCTGGATGGCCTTGGAAGGGACTGCGCCAGTGATCGATGTTGGGGACCCTTGTGTTGTCGAACGTCGCTTCATTGGAACTTCTCGGTGAACGAGACGATCTCGTTGTGTTTGCGGGCTATTGGCAATCTCGTCTGCGAGTGCGTCGATTTCCACACGGCGCTTCTCTACAAATACAAATCCCTCGTCAAGCGCGTTGTCTTGTGCAGCTCGTTCTGCCGCTTCTTTCAGTACATTGGCTTCCGCTCTCTGTGGGATCCGCTCGCGGTCAAAGTGCTCCTTGAGGCCGGTAGGTGTCGATGCTTGCTCATCGCGAGAATATTTGCGCCTATGGCCGATGGTAGTGGGTGCGGCGGTCTGATCCTGCAGTGTAGCGGTACGTCCTGGTGCGGTTGCCGCGTTGGTAAGAGTGGGTCGGCGGTGTTCGCGAGTCGACGTACGTTCGTCGCTAGGATCGGCCGGGGCATTGTTGGCCCTTCGTGCAGAAAGGTGTTGCGGTGGAGTGCTAGAGAAGTTACCGGAAACGGGTCTAGAGCTGGGCCGTGAAGGCGGCGTTGTGCCAGGGGCTATCGTCCTGTCTCTGGGCAATGGCGAGTATGGATTATCAGCAGCCCTTGGATCCATTTCAACAGGCGCTTTCTGTAGTCGCCTAGGTGGCTCGATTGGTGGTTCTAGTACAGAGGTTTGCATACGCTCAGAAGCTTGCATGGAGCCAGGAAGGTCTTCGTCCACCATGTCTGGAATTTCATCACGGATGACCGGGTCTGAGAAGAAATGTTCATAAGACATGCGCTCAGTTGGCTTACGCTTCAGGAGTGCGCGAATGAGAGTCTTCATGGCCCTGCTGCTGACGAGACCTTCTGGGAATCGGACCTGATCCTTGCGCTCTTCGATTTTGCGTAGCAATTCTACGTGGTTGTTGGCCCTAAATGGTGGCCGAGCACACATCATTTCGAAGAGAACGGTTCCCACGGACCACAGATCAGCCTTTGCATCGTACTTTTCATATCGCAGAATCTCTGGTGCCATGTAGAGGGGAGAGCCGCAGAGGGTTTCGGCCAGTGAGGTAGTTGGCAGAATCCTAGCGAAGCCGAAATCAGCAATCTTGAGCATGGGCAACGAGGCAATGCCAGTGGCGGGTATCAAGGAGTTTGCGCTGGCGGCCAGAGGCATGCGTTCCAGAGTTCCACTCTGAGAGTAGAATATGGACGATGGATTGAGAAGCAGATTCTGGGGCTTCAGATCACGATGGATGTAGTTCTTGGATCGCAGAAACTCGAGAGCGCTGGCCATCTGCTTGGCAAAGTGGCGTACGACGACCTCGTGGAGGCCGCCCACGGCTGGGTTGGGGTACTTTTCTATCATGCGCTGGGTTTGCGGGTGGTTCACGAGATCGGAGCGCTTCTTGATGAAGGCTGACAGGTCGCCGAGTTCACAAAACTCCATGATAATGTGCATGCGCGATGGCGTCTCGTGGCAGTCGATGAGCGACACGATGTGTGGGTGGTGCAGACTGCGCAAGATGGTGATTTCCGAGACGAGGTTGTCTTTGAGCTTCTTGTTCAGCTTGTTCATGTTGACCGACTTGATGGCGACCGACTGCCGTTTCTCCTGTACAAGGACGCAGTTAGCACTCGATGCATGCTTGAGAGTGAGGGCAGCAACGTACAATGTGGATGCCACGATAGACTTCGGCGAAGCTGCCTTTGCCAATGTGATGCAAGCGCTTGAACTTGCCGATAATCTGCTCCGAGCCTGTGGCAGCGGGTGACGACGTCGACGGCGATGCACCCGACCGCCGTGGGGCGTGCGGGTTTGGGGGTGAGGCCATGGTAGGCGGCGCTGGCTGAGCAGCCGGGGCCCGGATGAGGCTGCTGGTGTCTATGTAGCCAGTCGTCAGCTACCAGCGAAGATGTGGGTATAGCGTGGCCGTGAGGGCGTTGGACATGAGCTATCGTCGTGGTCGGGCTATCGATAGCGCTGAGGGATGGTCGTGGTGGTGAACGCGACGGTGGCGGCAACGAGTATGCGGGCGCGATGGGCAGATGAGCGAGGAATACGTGAGATTGGATACAAGAAAGCAGAGCGGCGGAGAGGGTTAAGAGATTAGGAGAGCGAAAGCATGCAGCGGGATAGTAGGTAGTGGTCAGTAGGCGGTAGTCTGAGGCGCGCGGGACGTCTATGGCCGCACGTGCCGATAACGCGTGCTCGCCGCTAGCTTGGAACCTCAGAACCTACCTTACAACTATCCTACTGCAACTAGGACAACGTCGACCAAACTCTGTTCAATCTCCTTGCAATAGCCTCCTGGACACGCTCATCGGGTTCGACGGATTTGCTTGTCATGGTCCGTGGCTGCCATGGATAAGTTGCAGAGCGTAGAGTATGGGGCATATCGCTGACCCATAGCCCCTCATTTGGCCGCCGACGTGACCTCCACCAGCACTACTTCGTCTCGCCCAACTCTGACGTAATTGTCTCGAGGCTGTAGATGCAAGTCATGCTCCCCTGCGCAAATGGCCATGTGCATGGTGTTTTAGTATACCAGGCTATCTATTGCGTACCTGCATCCCGCCTGATGCGGCTGAGTCCGTTGCCTACAGCCTGACACCCCTCACAAGAGCCCATAGTATGACTGGCACTATCACATTGTCGTTTCCGCCTGTGAGCACCGCCTCGTTGAGGCTCGCCCCCGCCGCACATAGACCTGCCTTGCCGACCATGAGCAGTGCGTCTTGTACCCACTCGCTCGTTGTCTTCTGCCCTGCCTGGCCACTGTCCCACCCAACGTCAAGCCAGACTCTACTCACAACGAGCCCTATCGACACTGCAAATGCAAATGCTAGGGAGCCCTCGAGTGACTTGCCGCCGGCCCATGGCCACTTCCGCCGTCCGTAGCGACGGCCAATGAGAGATGCCGCGGCGTCGCCCATGCCAACACAAACCACCCCTGCCACCATACTCACATCCCTATCCTTGACATCCCACCCTTGCCATGGCTCATCGCCAGCCCGTTCTATACCTGCGAGCGATAGCCAAAGCGGTATTGCGCAGCCTATGAGGAGAAAGATGTGTGATACTACTACTGGACCCCGGAGATCACGACCGTCTACGTACGGCGTGAGGAACCTAGCAATGGGTTTCGACAGTGGTGGCAGTTGCGAGGCACGAATCAGATCCAGAAGGAGAAATATCGCAAGCACCAACGCAAGGGCTAGTGCGACAAAACAAGGATCGATGAAGATGGTCGGAAGAAGCATCGCGACCATGGTGCCATGGAACACCTTTCTGCGCGTATCGACTTCTACAACCGCGGAAAGTGAGAAGACTGCAACAAGGCCGGCAATGATAGTTCCGGCACAGTACAAGCACAGCAAGAGACGTGTGTTTGCTTCGCCTACCACTAAGAAACGCACATACTCCGCAGGTGATAGATGTTGTGCGGATTCGAGCATGTCGTCAGAATCCAGTCTCGTCGGTAGTGGGACCCACCAGTCCAAATTCCACTGGAACACCTCCCATCGCACGCGTGGTACATTGCCGAAGAGGTAGCTGATGGCCCATCCAAACGGTTCGTTGTGGTGGAGAGCATGTTCGCCGATAGTATACCGAATTGGTCCAAGTATTAGCGCGACTACAATCGCATAGAAGTATCCTGCGTACAACCACTTCCTCATGGTGGCCTCGGTCGGTGTGAGCGACAGGTAGGACTGCACAATTGATCTCGATCGTTTTCGACTCGAGTACTGATGCTTTGATGTATGGTCTTCAGCGACGAGAACTGGAAGGGTGTTCCTTCGCCTGCGTCCGCTGCTATGGTTGGCTCTTTCGCCACCATTCGATTGCTGAAAGCCCGTATTTGTCGCTTCAACCGCGGATCGTGGCTCATCGCCGTCCATGCGAAGTCTGCTGTGTTTCGCAGAATCTAGAATGTTGACTTTCAGACTCTTAGTCTTGTGGAGAGCATTTTCAAATGCAGGATCTTCTTCATCCGCATCACTATCACTCGCATTTCTCACCGAACCACTCCCGCCGCGCCTGGAACCCAGGCTGTGGTTCAGGACCTGCAAGAAATTCTGTCGAGCTCGGATGACTTGGCCAGCACGCCGAAGCCTCCATCGCGGAATGCGTGCAAGTGCAACACCCCACTTCAAGATCCTGCCGCAAAGCAAGAAAACACCCAGCCCGCCTAGCCACAGCAAGACAGTGAGTATGGTTGCTTGAGGAGTTTCCGAGAATAAGAGGAGGTTGATGAGCCCAATGGAAAGCAAATGCAACTCGGCTGGCAAAAGGCTCGTCGTGGTGAGATAGTACAAGGGCGGTAGTAGCGCCTGATGCAAGGGGAATAACATCACCAGAAGTTCTGGGTCTACACCTTGGTTAGGCGGGGGTAACTTGAGCTTGTATGGTGTCTGTGCAAACAGCCGAGAGGGTATATCGGTGTTCTCTGAAACGATCAGGGGCATGATGGATATCAGCCAGTGCAGAGGAGAGTAGCCCAAGGTAGCGCTTCTGAAAGGAACAAGCCTGGCTGGTAAAGCGGCTAGTCCAAGCAACATGTTGGGTAGAAGGGGCTTTGACGATGAGGCAAACAGGGAGATCGCAATCAGGACGGGCAATATTGGGGGGTAGAGGATAGTGGCCGGATCGAAGGCGGCTGGTAGATGTATTTGACGGCCAAGCCGGAGTTGAGAGTGATTTCTCCATGAGTAGTACAGAAGCCGAAGCGGATATAGCCCCAAAACGCCAGCCATGACAGAACAGTGTGTCAACAGCTCTACTAGACACAGGTCAGCATACTTTGGCGCAGGCAAGGGATGCGGACTGACCTCTATGCCATGCCAGCAGTTTGGTCCAGCAGTCGCAACCACGGACAGCCAGGACGGCAATGCCCGCAAGCAATGCAGTCTCGGTCGTTCTCCTGACCAGCTCGTTGCGCCGCCGCTGGAGGTATCTCTGCCTGGCCGCCCTCGCTTCGTCGTCGCTATGGTATACGTCTCCCTTGCGTCTCGTCTTGTTGTTGCGAGCGAAGTAGCCCTCGGAGAGCTTCCTCCCCTCATCGTCAATCTGTGTGGGGGTGAGGAGGGGGCTCGCCCACGCCTCTGTGCCCAATGCCTGGGACTCACGGAGGCCCTTGTGCGGTCGCAAGGGAGGAGCAGGCAGTGCCTTGACAAGGCTGCAGCCCTCGTCGTCGGCCTCGGTGCCGCTTTCACTTGGTGATTGTGACGGCGTTTTCCTCATGGTCTTGTCTAGGGGCCGAGGCGGGGTTTGCGATTGCGATTGCGAGTGCAGAGAAACGTCGTGCGCCGGATCTGGCGACCGTCTCCGTAGCTGATCTCTATGATGCAAGTACGGGTGGGGCGAACGGCGGAATTGGTCGAGTTGTTCGATGTCGTCGGGCGCAGGCGCAAACGCATCCAAGGGCGAGTCTGGCGGTGCCGTCTCTTGCGCCATCATGACCTTTGCTCTGTTGCTTGTGCCTGCACGACTACAGGGAAGTCGCGCGGCACAATGGTCAAGAGTTTATCGTGGATGCACGCACATTCAAGTCATATGAGGCGACAGTGGCCGAGGGTTGGCAGCGGTGTTTGCGCTGTGTCTGTTAGCGAACCGCTCTGCCAATTGTACGTGCGGTGCAATGCGATGCAGTGCAATGCAGAAATCACTGCGAGAAGACAAATTGGCGTGTCGAGCGGCGCCGAATGCAGCGCATGTCGTGTCGAGTTGGCGATCCTCACATGTGAACACGGTACAGTCGGAAGACGCGAACCCATGCATGACGGAGGTCTTGCTTGGCGTTAGGGTCCGCAAAAAGTTTCTAGCCAAGACAATTCCTACTACACAGATCTCTTCCGCGCAGGTCAAACGGCAACCACAACCATGTCGTCGTCTTTCTTCACCACGCCGGCCTCGCAACGGAAACGGAAGCGCGGCGAAGTCGCAGCCAGCGCCCCCAAACGTCGCAACACGGACGCGCATGCTCGTCGCTCCCAGCGAGAAGAGTCCATCAGTGGCAGCGACGAATCCGACGGCGACGGCGCACCCACCTTCGACGACGACGAAGACGACGCAGACGGCGGCTCCACCACCTCTGAAGATGAGAACGAGACTGCGGCGGGAAAGCGTCTCAGGTTGGCAGAGCGCTACCTCGAGAACATTCGCAACGAAGTCGAGGAGGAAGTGGGCTTCGACGCCGAGCAGATTGACAAAGACCTCATCGCTGAGCGACTAAAAGAAGACGTCGCAGAGAGAAAGGGCAAGATCTACAGGTCAATTGCCACCGAGCTTGACTTTGAGCATGCATCGCATGCCACCGGCTACTCGGGGCTGCAAAAAGCTACAACAGGATGTGCCGTCAAGCTGCCGTATGCCTGGACCATCAGCAAAGATCTTGTCGTCGAGAAGTGGGAAATCGCTGACCCAAAGTCGTATGCGCCTGACCCCAGCCGACCGTCCAACTTGACGCCGCGCACCACACCAAAGAGGCTCCTCTGGCGGAAAGGGAACAAGAACAAAAAAGGCGACCGCGCCTTCCTGGGCCACACGGGCGAGATCGTATCTATTGCTGTCTCCGACTCGGGAAAGTACCTGGCCACTGGCGACAAGCATGCTCGCCTGATCATCTGGGACGCCGACACTCTTACACCCCGTCACCTCTTCACTCGCCATCGAGACGCCGTCCTCTCTCTGTCCTTCCGAAGGGGCACCGAACAACTCTTCTCTGGCGGTGCGGACCGAGCTGTCATTGTCTGGAGCGCGCCGGAATCAGCATATATTGAGACGCTTGTCGGACATCAGGACGCTGTCATTGGTGTAGCAGGCGGGCTGGAGCTCAATCAGGAGACTTGTGTCAGTGTAGGCGCAAGAGATCGCACCGCTCGCTTGTGGAGAGTCGTCGAGGAAAACCAGCTCGTGTTCCATGGAGGCGGTACGGCTAGACAAAAGGGCCTGGACAAGTTGCGCAAAGGTCGATTCGGAAAAAATGTTGATGGAGACGAAAAACAGGATGAACAGGCCAACGGTGGAACGTCCGACAATGACGATGACCCGCCCATCGCATATGCTGAGGGCTCCATCGACTGCGTTGGTCTTCTCGACGCCGGCTTGTTCGTTACAGCATCTGACAATGGTGCACTGTCGCTATGGTCTGTCAACCGGAAAAAGCCTCTCTTCACATACCCACTCACTCACGGCCGTGATCCACCGCTCTCGCCCGAGCAAATGTCCGCCAACGACGACGCCGCAACATCAGTAAAGCCCGGTCCCCGGCTTCCGCGATACGTGACTGCGCTTGCTACTGTTCCTTTTGCCGATCTCATTCTTACAGCAAGCTGGGACGGCTGGATACGCGCGTGGAAGATTACAGCGGACAAGAAAAGCATTGAGCCAGTGGGCAAAGTAGGGCGCGTACCGACGGTGGAGGACGAGTCTATGGTTAATGGCGACGCCAAGGACGGTGCTATCCTTATACGAGGTATCGTCAACGGCCTTGCGGTACAAGAGAGGGGAGATAGAGGCAAGGATGGGCTCTGCATCGTAGCCGCCGTAGGCAAAGAGCCCAGGCTGGCTCGATGGATGTCTGGGAAGGTCAAAAACGGCATTTATGTCTTCGAGGTGCCTAGAAAAGGCTTGACCAATGGTACGGCAGACGAAGACGAGGAAGATGAAGAGGAGGAAGCATAAGCGAAAAGCATCTTGCATTGTCAGGCGTTTGTGGATGCATACTAGATACCAATTCGATCACGCATTTGGTGCCGAACCTTGCTGTCGGCTTCTCATCCGAGATGATTTCCTCCCGCCCAGCTCACATGTGGTTTGTATGCGCGTAGTGCCTTCTGGAATCATGTTTGTGTTTCTTGTTAGGCACCTTGCTCCCATGATCTTGTCGTTGCGTTTGAATAGCGCGTGGCTCGAAGATACAAAGGAGATGGGTAAGATGACCACAGATACACACATGGGCCTACTGCTTGTTCGACATCAACTGCGAATGTCTATGCAATGATACGTTATCGTCAAAGGCAGAGGTATTATGCGAATACCTCCCGGAACACGCTAAGGTCTTTTGGTGTTGGAATCGAGAGCGAATTCAGTCCTGGAAGTATACATAGTATTTTGTGATACAGTTTTGCGAAAAAGTAATAGTGTGTAGCTTCAGGGCAAGGAGGATATTAAACTGCTGTGAAGACAATAATATTCCTGTAGTTTGCAGTACCACAGACACAGCGACTGAACAGTCAGGCCGGCATTCCAGGCTTCTAGGCGATCTGTCTACCTGTCCACGACCCATATCGCGTGTTGTTGTAGGCGAAAAAGGTTTACGTTCTTTCCTCGAACGACGTGGGTCCAGTATGCAGCTAAGATAGGCGAACGGCACGCACCGGCCGATGTCGAGAACCCGCTCCATACGTTGGCTTTGTTCGTTGTTCCAGTTCTGTATTGGAACGATGGATGGGCGTATACTGGACGTGGTTTATACAGCACGCTGTCTTGGTACGTGAGCGCTCTGAAACACGTTAGAGGCAGCTTGTTCCACAGACATGCTCTGTCGACGGTGACGTTGTTGTCGAATAAGCAAACAGTCGTCGCTCCTCATGACTACACGTGTCAGACACCCGACTATGCCCTCGTTGGGCTGCATGAGCCGCATCGTTTGGGCTGCTAAGCGGTCAGTGAGGCCGCTGAGTTGGAACCACGTAGCCGGCTAGACAAAGGTAGCATGACTCCCAGCGATGGCAGTACTGCTGCAGGATGATGAGGTGAATTTAATAGCAATGGCAACGGGCACTGTAGATGGAGTATAGTAGAGCGGCTTCCACATCACATCGCAGACATTACATCGCTGTCGTCATCATCAAGCATATCTACTATTGCTTCAGCCAGACTATGTCCGAGCCAGCACAATCGTTTTCTGCGCACTATTGTCTGGACTGGAGGGTTGGGCGCCGGCCTTGAAACACGAATTCCTACTATATCGATTTGACGTTAGAGACAAGACCGAAGCACGACACGACACAGCCGCCTAGTTAGAACCAAACCGTTTCGGCAGCCAGGGTTGACGCTTTTTCTGCTCTCCTGCCCTCCCCAAGACGTCGCCCGACTGTCCCGCCTGACCACAGTCTGCCGTGGATTTTGAGATTGTTGTTGTTTACCCATACGCCACTGGTTATAGCGTACCGTTTTTGTGCTTAGGCAACCTTGGACAGCAACCCATCTCCTGCCCTGCCCCGCGTTCTCCTAACATCTTCTCGCGCCCGCACCTGTGCTCCACCTCCAATCCTCCCTTCGCCCACACCGCACCGCACCTTGCTCGCGCACCTCGGAACCCTGGACTCGGCCATTCTCTAGCAGAAGGAGGCTCGAGTGCGGTTCCGTCAGCACCACCAGACTCATGCCGTTAGTCATAGCCCATCTCCCCCAACGTCGCGCCATGCCCCATGCTGCGTCGTCGCGGCGCTCCGCTGTAAAGTCGCGCGCAACACACAGCACCGCGCCGTCGAGCGTGTCCATTTCTCCTCCCCAGCGCCGCTATCATGTCAAGGGCGACACTAACGTGGCCATCAGACTCCGGAAGGGAATCACAGTCAATAACCACACGGGCGCCTTCGAAGACGACGACGACTTTACCGACGAGGACTCGGCCGGCATCCAGGTAGTCTCCGCCAGCGAGGACGAATACACCACCTCGGAGGCGACCGACGAGGAAGACGACGAAGAAGACGAAGAGGGCGAGGAAGACGACGACGACGACGAGGAAGACGAAGACGACGACGAGGAAGGCTCGTGGGACTACATAGAGGACGAAATCAACCCCTCCGACTCGGCCTCGCGTCCACAAGTCGTCAGCAAGCACCACTCGGCGCAGCGGCACGCTGTCTCGCATCACGCTGTTGCACGCCACGTTATTCCCCCACCTGCTATAGCCCCTCCACGTGGACCACGCACAAAGGCCTCGCACCGAGATCGAGCCTCTTCGCGTCACGCAGCGCCCGTCCCAGATCCTCCCTCGCGCCACGAGAGCCAAAGTCGTAGCCGCAGCCGCAGCAAACTGGAGCGCACACGCAGGTCGAGGCGGCCAAGGCCCCAATCCGTCCATCAGGACGCTCTCGAGGTCGAGGACGACGACTACCCATACGGAGCCCCGCCCCACCCTGGCCATCCTCCCGGCCATCCCAGTGCTGGCTGGGGCCACATACCCCAACATGCTCCCAACGGCTATGCGCCCAGCTTGATGTCGGATCCACGCTACCCCTACGGCGGCTTCCCGGGCGGCGCACAATCGCCCCCGGGTCAGCTGGTGCCCTTCGGTCAAGAGGCACACTCGGCCTATGCTCAGAACCCCTTTGCCCCTAACGGCCAGAATCCTTTTACTCAAGGTCCTCCTTCGGCTGGCGATCCACGCGGCGGTTACTTTCCCGATTACCAGGACCCGCGCCATCAAGACCCACGCCACCAAGATCCGCGTCAATCACGTAGGGGTCATCGTAAGTCCATGCCGGCGGCGCCCCAAGCAGACATGATGCCTTATTCACCAATGGGCTACTACCCACCATACGGTGCTTCGCCCTATGGTGGCATGCCACCGCACATGTATCCGTACGGACATCCAGAGCATCACTCTCCACCTCCACAACACCCGCCTTCGCACCCACCCTCGCATCCACCCTCGAAGCGTCCTACACCGAAGCCCCAGCCTCCGCCTGAAGAAGAACATCATGTCCCCGCTGCACCAGCTCCGCCTCCGCCCCCACCTCAGCCTCAGCCAGCCCAAACCCCTGCTGACCAGATGCAACTGCAGACGTTGCAGCAGCTTATGCAACAACAGCAGTTGCAACAGCAACCCATGCAACAGCAACTCATGCAGCAACCCATGCAACAGCAGCTCATGCAACAAATGCACCCTATGGCTATGATGGCTCAACCTCCCCCTCCGCCTCCCGCTCCCGCGCAACCTGATCCAAAGGAGGAGGGCATGCTCTCCAAGCTTGAGAAACTCTTATTGGGCAAGGAGGAAGAGGAGAGAAAGGCGGCCGAGAAAGCAAGAAGAGACGCTGAATTAGCCAAGTTCGATCGCCTCGAAAATCTGCTCATTGCCCAACAAGAGGCTAAAATCGAGAAAGAAAAGGCTAAGAAGGAGGCTGCCGAGAAGGCTGCTCAAGAAGCTGCCGAGGCAAAGAAGAGGGGTGATGAAGACAAGCTCGCCAAACTCGAAAGCCTCATCCTTGCTCAGAAAGACGAACAACTCAAGCGTGAGGCGGCTGCAGACGCGGCTCGAGCAGCCGACAAGGCAGCTGCAGATGCGGAGGCAACCAAGATTGCAGAAGAAAAGAAAGCCGCTGCCGAAAAAGCCAAGCTGATGCTCGAAGCAGCGCAAAAGGCACGTGAAGAAGCTGAGAAGAAAGCCGCCGCAGAAGCCGAGGAGACCAAGAAGGCCCATGAGAAGGCTTTGGCAGAAGCCAAGGCTGCTGCGGACGACCTGGAAAAGGGAAAGAAGGCTGCTGAAGAAGAGGCCGCCAAGTTGAAACCATCCGACGCTCCAAAGGCCCCAATCAAGTTCAAGGATGCTGTTGGTCGCAAGTTCAGCTTCCCGTGGGCTCTGTGTAAAACATGGAAGGTAAGTTGTCTGGGTAACAGGTCTCAATTTGGAGCTAACATTCGGTCAGGGCATGGAAGAACTCATCAAGCAAGCTTTTCTGCACGTCGATGTGATTGGCCCTCACGTTCATGAAGGCCACTACGACCTCGTCGGACCGGACGGCGAGATCATCCTCCCCCAGGTCTGGGAAACCATGATCCAACCAGACTGGGCCATTACTATGCATATGTGGCCAATGCCTGAACCCCCGCCACCACCACCGGAACCGCCCAAAGAAGCGTTTCCTCCACCACCGCCCCCTCCACCGGATGCGCAAGTGTTCCTGTCCAGCCACCTTCCGTTGAAAGGAAAGGGCAAGAGGGACAAGAGCCAGAAACGCCAATCCCTCCCTCAGGCACATATCGTGCAAGTGCCCCCTCCTCCTCCGGGTGTCATGCCTGGTCCTCCACCCCCACCGCCGCCTCCTGGACATCCTGCTGGTGGTTCCCCCCCTCCTGCAGTTGTCGTTATGCCCAGTGGCAGTGGCAGCTCCGGAAGTTCTCGCAAGAAGCCTGCGCCATCACCTTTCTTCAGATGGGCTGCTGGCACCCAAGTCAGGAAGAAGAAATAGGCTTGGTCGCAGAGAAACCAGAAATGGTCGACTGGATCCTCTGAGGCTGCTGCGGAGTTGAGCGTCAGTGATGCTAGTAGACTCCTTCACGTTTTTGAACAGTCATGCCCCGTCCCCGCTGCAGCGCTCTTCGGTTGGCCGCTTAAGCGCCGTCTCGATGCTTCTTTGTTTTTCGCGAGATATACCAGGTACTGTTGGGGAGTCGCGATACGCGCCTTGATCTTCTGTCATTTGTCACTTTTCTATTCGAGGCTTTTTGTTTTCGATTACAAGGAAAAGTTCAGATACCATGGTCGTTTTAGCGTCGTACGTTTCGTATTGCGTGTCGCTTTGGCCTCTGGACTACCCCTTCTGGTTTGGCGTCGGCGTTGCGCTTGATTTTGATTTAAGTATATGGCTGCGATGGTCAGTGAACGCACGGACTACCGACTTATGGGACAATCGTGTGGTTGGATTGATGAGAGTTGATGATAATACGAGTAACGAATCTGGACAATGAAAGGAATGTTTGTTGAAGCCATGTTGTATGTTGATTAAGAAATATGATACATATCCTAAAATGCCGATCAGCTTCCATCCGTTGCCCAGACATGCATTAGGATCTGGACAGGGGGTTGATGTCGCTAACTTCCCTTATCCACCTACGTCATAATCTTTGCGCCCTATCCAAGGAACAACACGATGACCGTTAACTTCGAGTCGCCGCTCCTGCAGTAGCTCAGAAACCGGATTTCGGCTTTCACTTACTACGAAACTGCTGTCGATATCTCATCAAACATTTACATGTTTTGCTTCTTATAACGTCGAAAAGTGTTTCAATACAGTCCACGCACGAGCTTTGTATCTTTCATCAGGACATTCACTACCCTTCGTATTCGAGTGGCCCAATATGTGGAAACCAAGCCCTTTTCTTGGCATGCTCGTCGCCCTCATCATGACCGTGTTGGCCGCAGCTGCTGACGAAGCAACGACATCATACACGAGTGACAGCTCTTTTCAGGACGACTTGATGAACGTCACTAATGAGTATCGTGTGCAACACAATGCATCAAAGCTTGAGTGGAACACGACGCTATCCGACTACGCTCAGGACTTGGCAGACGGTTGCAAATTTGAGCATAGCGTACGTTACACCACTTGATCCTAGGCCAGCACGCGCTGCTGAAACCCGGAATCGATGTCTCGCTTCCAAAGCGACAATACCCACAGATGGGAGAAGGATCAGCGGCTCGGGAACTACAATGACATGTCGACTGCGCTAATGCTAGAGACCGTGTAGGGCGGACCATACGGTGAGAATCTCGGTTCAGGATATGGCAGCGCAGAGCTTACCGTCATGGCATGGGGAAATGAGAGCACGAAGTACGATTTCAAAGCAGGGGAATTTAGGTTTGTTCAACTCTCTGTTTACGCCATGTATATACGTGCTTACTGACTTTACCAAGCGAGGAAACTGGCCACTTTACTCAACTTGTGTGGAAATCGACAACCTCAATGGGGTGCGGCCGCAAAGAATGTAATGGTGGTACCAGTGGTGGTGAGGGCGATGCTCCGGGGTGGTTTGTCGTCTGCGAGTACTGGCCTCGGGGAAATGTGGTTGGACAGTTTAAGGAGAATGTGCAGTCTACACCGCAACAGGATGCAGAGTCAAAAGCACCAAGCACAGCGATCGAGAAAGTACTGTATGTGTGGATCGGACTCGTCACTGGATGGATGGTCGCTGTATGGTTGTGAAGACGTAGCGAAAAATGATGTATCGTTTCTTTATATGCAACACCTTACTAGCGGATACGTGAAGACGGGACGGTTGGTGCCGGGCCAATAAAAACAACCAAAAGGCAACTGTGACAGTAAATTGTTCACAACACAACGGGCTATCACTTCATTGAATCGCTGCAGTCGCCCTATTCCTTCATTCATGTACTGCGCCGCGAAGTCCTTTGTCATATCGATCCTAGATGCATCCTGCTGCCAGCATGCCATCCCGAGAGTACCATGCATGATGTTGTGACCTACATGTAGTCTACCGTTAGGCGTAAACGTATCTTCATCACGTATTTGTAGATGATTCTATGTTTGCTTGAAATCTGATTGACGACCTACAAGTCATCTACATATGTTGATACAACCAGTACACAAGACGGGCACTGTCTCGAGGGTGTTTGCTTCACACTTTCCTACTCTAAGATAACACTCTACTTCCCAAAGATGGCTCGCATAATCGGCTCCACAACAACTCTGAATCCGATCGATCGTCGTACCTGCTTGAGATCTCATACTGCACCTAGGTCCAGTCGAAGACTTCGAAATCAACATGATACGCAACAGACCACAGACTCTACTACGGACAACGTCTCAATAGCCCAAAGTCCTCCTAGACGCAATGTCCAGCGGATGATCGAAGTTCGCATTTCCCGGAAGATCACCGTCCTGCCCGATCGACTGTTGGAGGAGCAACTGATGGTTCCACCTGCACCTATGTACCAGCAACTGGTTGATCTTCATAGATACCGGCTAGGGTCAGCGAGATTCAGACTGTCGCGGCAAATCAGAGATGGAGAGTGCTGGCGTGTGCTTCTCAACGACACTGAAGTTGTGGGCCCTCGCGGTTGTTGGGTAGCTCGAGGAACAACGAGCTGGCGATATCCTTTTGGAAGTGCCTAGACCATGTACCGGGTACACAACATCAATCGCAAGAACCTGAACCAGCATTTAGGGGAAATCTGCTATACACGCATGCTGCCATGAATGTTATGGGATTCAGATACGCGTTGAAGTTCACCACCATCGTCGGGGATGTGCCCCAACAGTTCGAAGTATCACATCTCTGCGGACACTCTCACTGCTATCGACCGTCCCATTTGGTGCTTGACTCACATCGAGTGAACCTGTTGAGATCACGATGCCGTGGCTGCGGTAAGGACAAGGAGGGGGCTGATTACAACCATTGTGTTCATGCCGACCTACCAGGATCGAGTGGACGACACTGCTTTGGACACGAACAATGTCCCGAATACTGCCCAGAGCGCTTGAAACAAAGGACTTCCGCAGCTAAAGAACAAGGAAATGGCTAGAGGACTGTTGAAAGTCATAGGTACACTCAATTCTGGGCTCTGGTATCACGACTGCTTACGGGCATTACTGCTTCGAACCTGGGGGATGAATACAGATTACCAAAGCGCACGAGGCTTGCGACGGGAAACAGGAGCGTTTGGAGGTAGGAAGGAATCGTCTGGTGAAGTGGGAAAAACAAGCGTTTCAAACGCTTGCAGCTCATGAAGCAAGGTATCATTGGTTCTAATAATGTATAAATTAGAGTCGTGTTTCAATCAGCTATAAGGCGAGCTGTGAGAATGAGTGACCCAGATAGTAGGACCTCATGCCCCACCAACATCCAACTCCGCCGTGAAGTCTTTCCGTATGGTAAGGTTCTCGTACTTCTCTTGATTCTCGATAACCAAACCTTGTTCGTTGGCTAGATGCAGCAAGCAGATGAAGCAATAACTCGTTGAGATATCGGCCATGGTTTGTTTCGGATACACAGCCTGTAAGCTGTTGACGACATCGGTAAAAGTCAATGAACCATCGACAGCTTTGTTTGCTGGATCGTCGGCGACGTTGGGTTGAGGAGGCCCAGAGATCTAATATTGGTCAGCTTGGATGCTATGTAAGAGTTGGTTCCATAACTTACGCCTTCGAATCCGATACCTTTCCATAGCTCGTCCTTCAATCTTTTCACGTCCACCTTCTTTGCGACTCTTGCGTACTGCACGTATTCGGGCCGGAATCGTCGGCTTTGTGTTACTAGCTGCGCACCAAACGCGTCAGTCTGCGAGCTAGGTAGCATGCCGTCTATTGGTAGTGTAGCTTCGGGTGCGTCAGGCGGCGGCGAAAAGTGGTCGCGAGCGTCTGCGAAAACGTCCTCATCGTCGATAGGCCCACCAGGCATTGGCAAACCATCATCTTGGAAGAAGTCGGCATCGTAATTGCCCTGTATGTCGTCACCCTCGCCTTCTTGACCTTGATCAGCCCAGTATGCTTCGTCGACGCGTGCTGGGTCTCCAGACTGTGCTTGTGCACGGCGTCCGCCCTTTCGGGAGTCCATACGTGCTTTGGGTTTCAAGAAGAGACGCAATAGCTGCTTCGAGTTGAAATGCTTGTCGTCTGGGAGAAGATTACGCGACTTGGACTTCCATTGCGCTTTTGGTAGAGATATAGTTGAATTGGATGTTGCAGGCGTGTAGAGCATATCAGCTAGTGTCTGAGCCATGGGTGCGGCGAAGTCAATCTCGAAGGGCTCCCTCTCTTTCCGTTTCGTTGCTGGTGTTGCCTTTGCAGAATGCTTGACTCGTGAGATACGCCAATGCTCAGGACCTGCCCAGCTCTTCTTAAGAGCTTGATCGAAGTAGGTCAGAATATTCTCCTGTTCTTGATCACGACCGTGCATCATAGAGACGCCATATTGAGCACCAGTGCCGAGTGCACCCTCGGCGCTGTCTGGCTCCTCATCCCCTTCAAGGCCCATAGTGTGAACGCGAGCCTGTGGATGTTGGATTACTTGACGAGCCCAGACCTCTCCGCCTTCGCCAAAGCCCGTTTCCGGAGGTAGGTCGAATCCGCCCATGTTCACGTCGTCGTCATCGTCGAAGCCCATAGGATTGTCGTCATCCAAAAAGAGGCCTGACCGGTTGCCCGCCTCGTCTTCTTCATCTTTGGCACCGTCTTCGTTGGCAGAGTCATCGGGGGCCTTGAGAAAGGGAAGATCCATGGAACCGTTTACATCACCAAGGTCGAACGTCTTCATCGAGGGGCACACGTCCTCCCGGTCGAGCTGGGATAGATCGGGAAAGTACCTGGCAGCCAGGCCAGATATATCGACATCGATAGCATCGGGCGTCTGGGACTGGTCTTGCTGCATATGGGCGTCTTCGGGCACTGGGGTAGCACGTGTGTCGTCGGCGGTCGCATCGTTTGCGTCGTCGCTGCTGTCAAAGACGATC